AAAATCTTTTCCACAGCCCCATGTATCACTGGTAAAACACAGTGGAGGAGAAATTGCATGACTCTGCAGGAAGAATCAATTCCAGAAAGACGCCTATGGAAATTCTATGGGGAAAAAATGAACACCTGTCTTGGAAGTAGGGATGCATTATTAAACAGAAAAGGGAGGAGTTTCAGAAAAAAAAGATTACTTAGAAAAATCAGAATGCCTTGGTTTTGTCCGGTACAAGAAGGAATAGAGAGAAAGTTTGATATAGGTTTTCAAGCTGGAATTTCTGCAAATCTGTTTCTTGGCCTTTTCTACCTCAAGTGGCACACACAGGTTTTCAACATCAGGTTTAGTTTTGCATCAGACTCCTGATTGTACTTCTCAGTTGGTAGTATAATAATTCTTGACTCAGCTGTCTATGGATTCCTCTTTTCTATGTTGGCTTTGTCTAGGGCAGTGGTTCTCAACTTTGGCAACTTTAAGATGTCTGGACTTCAACCTCAAGAATTCTACCCCAAATTGTTTCTGAACAAGAACACTAGCCCCACAGCAGAGTCAGCAGTTAGTGTACAGTATATGCATAAAGCAGAAGAAACTATAAGCAGACAAGGATCAGATTTGAAAACAAAGTCCAAATCTAACCCAAGAGTCAAAGTATACACAGTAACATCATTAAAAAAAACAAAACAAAAAAGAAACAAAAAACATTAGCCTGATTAGGAGGTATTTATATCAAGATGTTGCTTCTGCATTGGTCTATTAAAACTGAAAACTTAGAAAGTCAGAGAGACGCTGGCACTTTGTTCATACTCCAACTGTTAATTATGGAGAAATTCAGAATAAGGATGATTGCAAATAAGCTTTACTCCTAAGAAACCACCTTCTCCTGATAGGACCTATTCTTCAAACATGCACAATGACTTTGGGCCTGCACCCACAGAATAGCTTGGTGGTAATTCACCCAGTCTTTATCTGAGAATCTCAACATCAGAGGACGAAGGTTGATTCTAAGACTTTTGAGACTCCCATTTTTGTAGGAAAGTGGGATGTGAGAATACAGCATATCCTGGGGGATTAGCTTCAACCTATTGCATGATAAGTCTTTTGAGTCTCCTTTAGTTGTTCATGGATGATGCTATCTATTGAGCTTTGCTTGAACGTGTGTGCTGGGTTGGACGTGATTCCAACAGAAAAAAGGATAAAGGAATGAAAGAGTGCTATGTGTTAGCTCCAGTAGGAAGCATTTGGATTAGTGGGACCTGGTACAAGAAATCATTGCCTCCTCCATCTCCTCTTTCAAAACCTGGACCAAGGAAGTCTTAGTACTAACCATGAATAAGGAAGGAAAAAAAATTCTGCATGACTTCTACATCCAAGTGTGAGCATTCTCGGCCATGGATATTTCAAATATTCATTATTTTACTACACAATGCCTCCTGCTGTATAGTAGGCAACATTCATTTGTAAAGCTCGGGCGGGGGGGGGGGGGAATGCATGGGAGAGCAGCACAGAAGGTCTTCCCTCCTTCCATTTGCTCAGAGATTTGTTCTGCAAAGCCTGTATTCCTTCCACACTCGCACACCCCACCACACACACACACACAGAGCAACTTGCCAGCTGAACATAGCAATGATTGCTGGCGTGATGGAGAAGCTCATTTTTAAACATCTTAAGTTGCCAACTTTTGACAGGTGGCTGATGTGGAAATTTGGCAGAAGTCCAAGAAGGAAGACTCAACATGGAGTTAGACCGAGGAGATAGGGCAGCAGTTGGTTTCTGCCACATCTCCAGATTCCTTTGCTCTTTGCACAGCAGGCTGGTTGACTTCCATCATGCTCTCAGGGCTGTTTGCAGTCCTGCCAATGATTCATCGCAGCTCATATGTTAATGAAGTCAGATCCAAATCTGTCAGCTCGTTGACAAATTTCTGCCTAATAATTCTTATTAGGATGTAATTTGAATGTGCCCAGGCTGGACCTGTTATTGCTAGGAGGTAGGATCATATGCCTAGTGTTGCAAGCAATGAGGAGGAAAGATACAGAGGCTTTTTAATCATGAGAAGGGAAGTCTCCATTAGTTTCTCCTGCCGGGAGCAAGGATTGCAAACAGAAAGAGAGAGAGAGAGAGAGAAAGAGATGGCACTAAGCGGGAATGAACTACTTATTTTGCTAAGCACGCTAGAAAGTACAGACTGGGACCCCTCTGGGATGTTAGACAAAGTATTGTCGGGTCAGCTTATTTTCCAAAGCACCAGAAGGCAAGCCAGGAAACAATGGATGGAAACTAATCAAGAGAGAAGCAACCTGGGATTAAGGAGAAACTTCCTGACAGTGAGAACAATTAAGCACTGGAACAGCTTGCCTTCAGAAGCTGGAGTGGAGGTTTTTAAGAAGAGACTGGACAGCCACTTATCTGAAATAGTGTAGGGTCTCCTGCTTGAGCAGGGGGTTGGACTAGAAGACCTCCAAGCTATTCTGATTCGATTTGAAGGTACTGCCCATGGCTTTTTCCCACTGACACTCTCTATAGCAGTGGTTCTCAACCTTTTTAATGCCGCGACCCCAACCGGTCATAAGTCAAGGACTAAAAAGGTCGTAAGTCGAGGACTAAACCGGTCGTAAGTCGAGGACTAAACCAGTCGTAAGTCGAGGACTACCCAACCGGTCATAAGTTGAGGACTTTCCCTGCCCGGGAGCGCCGTGCATGGGTGGTTCCGCCCCCTGCGCCGGCCGAGGCGTAGCAGGCCGACCACCAGCTGGGCCAGCCCAAGGGAGGTAAGGCACCTGCCGGAAAAGGGGAAAAAAATGGCGGACAAAAAAAATGGCGGACAGCCTTGCTTGGCGACCCCTGTGAAATGGTCGATCGACCCCAAATGGGGTCCCGACCCACAGGTTGAGAACCACTGCTCTATAGCTTGATATACTCATTTTATTCCCAAGCAAAAGGAATGTTCCTGGCTAGCATCAAATGGAACTCAAAGGGCTTTGGGGAAGCTGTTGGATCTTTGTGTCTGATTTTTTAGATGCCGCTGTCTTAATGCAACTGGAGAAAAACTGATTTAAGATGTAACAATGTGTATATTGTTGTAAACCACCCAGACTCACTTAGGTAAGATGGACAGTGTAGAAATTTAACAAATGAACAGACAATCTTTGCGATAACTGGATATTTTGGAAGAGGAAGGAGGAAAAGGAAGACCCATAGCTTCATCAGCCTTGATAAATGGGAGAATGGAAACCAGTTTATTATCAGATCAGACCGTGGCTTCATTTTTCTTTGAGTTGTCCCTTCTGGTAGTAGTTACAATAGGTGAAGGAGATGAAGACTGGACTGAGAACCTTCTACATGCAAAACACATGCTCCCTCCTCGCATTATGGGAGAGTTATAAATTAAAAAAAAAACTATTTCAATTTAAATGTGTAGTTCAGCTCAGATTGAAAGGTAGTAAATTGGGAATGTATTGCACAAGAATTAATAAAGGAGTATATAGAAGACTACAGTAATAAAATAAGCTATTTTATGAAAATTTAACTTGACTATTTAAATTCATGGCCAAGTAAACTTGGTATCGGTGTCCATTTGGTTTTTTAACTTTGAGAAGCCTGCACAAAATCCAACTGTGTGATTCTTGTTCTTACTGAGAGTTTCAAAAACAAAACAAAGGACAATTCAGAATTTGGTTGTCCAATGGAGAGAGAATGCTGAACAATGGAGAGTTCCTCATTCCCCTCATGGCGGATTAGCTATTTGATGTACTCAGCAGTATGGGGACTGAGTAGCAAACTCCTTGAATGAGTCAACTCTCCCTATGACCCAGTCTACGTTTACCAATCTTTATAATAGCACAGTGTCTTTGGGTCCAAAGGGTTGAAATTAGCTATGGAAAAGCAAGCTGGGAGCTACATTTTAAGGAGAAAGGGTCATAAGGAAAATGTGATTTTAATTAAAGCAGAGTAATATTCATACTCTCCAGTTGTGCATTAAGTATTTTCCTTCTCTGGATGCTCTAAAAATTACAGTTTGGTACTGTAACACTTTTTGGAAATGGAAACTCAAATACTTTGGCCACCAAATGAGAAGAGCACTGGAAAAAGACCCTGATGTTGGGATAGATGGAAGACAAAAGGAGAAAGGGGACAGCAGAGAATGAGATGGTTAGTGACAGTGTTCTCGATGCAATGAACATGAATTTGGGCAAACTCTGGGAGATAGTGGAGGATGGGAGGGACCTGGCATGTTATGGCCCATGGGGTTGCAAAGAGTTGGACATGACTTAGTGACTGAACAACAACAAAAAACACTTTTGTGAGGTTTGGGGAGGCCATCGGTGTCCTCACATGACCTCAGCAGGTGATGTTTCGCACTGCAAAGAGGTAGCAAAATTGTTGAACTCTAACTCAAGGTGAACTGTCCATTTCGATGAGCAGCATATTTTGTTTAATATTTTATTTTTACTGCTATGGGAGATAACATTTAGATGTAGCCCCAGGCATCCAATCATCCTGAATCATCTGTGAGAGATAGTTGGAATGGCGTGTAATTTCAGGTCACCCAACTATGCTTGGTTTGACACTAATGAGGTAACCAACAAGCTTCCCCAGTTGAAAGACTTGGTGTATGTCTTCATACGCATCCATCTTGCAACCGAACATGCATCTTAGTTGTTTGTGCTTAAATAGATGACGGAGTGACGGTAACGCATTGCTTAACATCCTTTGGGTCCACTGGTGGTGATGTCAACTTCTCCATCAAGGACTAGGAAACCTTACTTTTCATCAAAGCCCGCAGGCTATTTGCTGAACAGCAGTAGTCAATCTCTCCTGTTTCTCTTGTCTGCATTAATAAAGCTGCACTCTGTGATTTTAACAGCTCTGAGCAATGTGTTAAATTTTGAAACGGCATACCTCCCTGTCATAGGCTTTCGTACACTAAAAAACATATGTCTGCACTCATTATTGTTATGAGGGAGGGACAGCTGAATGGATTAAGGGAAGCCAGAATGAATCCTTACCATTAACTGCTTGATTGCTGGGTGTTCTTCACTTTCTCTGCTGGAGGCAGACTCCTTGTGAACAATCTCAACTCGGATATCATTCTTGGCTGAAACTACTCCTTTCAGATCTAAGCAAAAGAATAAAGAAGTGACTGTTATGAAAAATAATAGGAATGCTCATTGCTCCAGAGGTCTGTCCAACAATTGTTTTGTTTTTTTCCAGGAATGCTTTATACCAGTGTTTCTCAACCTTGACAATTTTAAGGCATGTGGACTTCAACTCCCAGAATTCCACAGCCAGCAATGCTGGCTGTGGAATTCTGGAAGTTGAAGTCACATGCCTTAAAATTGTCAAGGTTGAGAAACACTGCTTTATACAGTGGTACAGTCCTTGGTACTCAACTGCTTTGAAACTCAACAAATTTGATAATGCATTTTGACTTGAAAATTTTGTCCTGGTACTCATTGTTTGTTTGGCACTCAACACACAAGCTAGAATTTGTCAGTATTGGCTGCCTTGCGACCCACTACATTATTCCTTATGGGAAAAATTCATTTGATACTCATCATTTTTGGTACTCATTGCACCTCCTGGAAGCAATTAAGGATGAATACCAAGGTATCTGGTACCACTGTGTACCATTGTAATTATCCTTATCTTCCTGGAACCTCAGAAAGAGCCTGAATGAATCTTCTAGGATACCCATTTGATGTATTCGGGAAGCAGGGTTGCTGCCATTTATTATAATATATAATTATGTAATAATAAATTATAATATAATTATTATTGATCATCTCACAGTCAGCCAAATGTTCAGACTGGATTTAGCATTTTTATTGACCTATCGAGTCCTTACCAAGGAGCTGGGATAGGCAGATGTGGATGTTTGATGGTATTACAGATGGTGTTCAAGTGGTGCTCCAGTTGTTTTGGGATTGCACCCAAGGTGCCTATTACTATTGGTACTACCCTTGCTTGTCTTTGCCATAGTCGTTCTATTATTGTTGTTGTTGTTATTGTTATTGTTATTCAACTTTCATTGGATAGTATTGAGAGGGTTTGAAACTTAAGTCTTCTGAAACTTAGAATTTAACTCTGTTTACAATGACCTAGGACAGGGGTAGGCAACCTTGGCTTTTTTATGACTCGTGGACTTCAACTCCCAGAATTCCTGAGCCAGCATGGCTCAGCTTGGAAACCTCTCCCTTTCCCCTCAGCATGGCTGGCTCAGGAATTCTGGGAGTTGAAGTCCACGAGTCATAAAAGAGCCAAGGTTGCCTACCCCTGACCTAGGATCTTGAGCCAAATGTCCAGACAAACGGAAGGTCACCACTGACATAGAAGAGCCTTTCCGTGCTATATTTGTTCTAACATATTCCTTGTTTCCTGGTCAGCAGAGTTAAAATACTGTAAATCCATGGATTGAAAATCCTCTCTGGTAAATGAACTATCACATCATCTAAGTAATGAACCTCATGAACACACAAGTAGGTATTTTGGATATTTTCCAAGAAAGCACCGTGAAAATCAGCCTTAAAAGAGGAAGGGAAGGGACTGTTTTTTACACACAGCAGAGTCCGGAGAAGGGCAGTGAGATTTAGAGACTCGTTTCTTTCTCACCTCCCCACCCCAGTACCCCAAGAGTCACCCAGAAATCTTTGAAGAGGCTTATTTTGAAAAATTAAACCCAAGATAACAAGCAGCAGGCTTGAAAGGAAAGGAAACACTTTTTTTTCCTATGCCTGCCTAAGATTAAAGACGGAGAGGAAGGTAAATCTAAACAGCCACAAGCTTTGAAGAAACATGGAAGAGGAGGCGTGCTAGTCATAATTGGCCCTCGAATAAACGTATTAAAAGGCAGATTATTTATTTATTAGATTTATGCCCTGCCTTTCCAATAAATAGTCCTGAAATTAGTTTGCAATAAATAAATAAATAAACAAACAAACAAAACACACCGGAACAAAAGTCCCCTGGTAAATCTCCCCGGTAAAACCAAATTTGGCACACAGCAAAGGTCTACCGAACATTAAAATGCATTTATTTGATCTCTTGAAGCAGGTAAAAATCAAACCATTTTTTGAATAAAGCACAACTCTTTCTCCCACAATTGTTAATCCCATGACGTTTTGGAAGAACTCATGACAATTAGAATGATACAAAACCCATATGAAAGGATAGTCTATATGTGCCTTCTAATGTAAGCAAGATTAAATTAAATATTGTCAGGTGTGAATAACCAGATTTACACATAAAGAATTCAATTAGCTGATTTATTGCTCATGCCCAAACACAGAAATCTTCTCAAAGTGACAGTTTGCACCTGGGAAAGACTAGATAAGGTTCAACGGCATTCAAGAGGGGCCAGATTTCACCTTCTTGTGCCTACATAAGCACTTTAGACTAGTTCCTTGCTTGACTCTTCCCTCTGGCTCCAACAGATAAGAATAAAACTAAAACATTGGGTTTTCTGTCCAGGAGATGTCAGAAAACAGATTTTATGAGGTTACATCAAACACTGAACCAGGGGATCCTTCACATTGAATTCAATTAAATAGTCCAGCAAAAGACATTTGCAGCATTGCTCTGAGGCCATTTGAAAGTTTGTATGTTCTAATTTCCATAGTGTCCACTCAGATATTGGTTGAACCACTACTTGGAGAAACTAATTGGGATAGGATCTTTGAATGGATGTTAGTCTTGAGGATTTCTCCCCCCCCCTTGTACTTAAGTGCTCTTGTGCCTTTCAGTTCTCGTACACAGTAAGCGGGAACTCAGTCTTAAAATTGAACTCGGCTGTTGTGGCCAGTGGCCTTGCTGTAGCCACTTTGCTGATGGGTTTCTTGAGGTTTTGCTTCCTTCTCCCTTCCTTCTTTTCAAAAGGTCCATTGCAGCAGCATTACTCATATATTTGTAGACAAAAATGCAAGACGGCATTTTTCTCTTATGCATCTTGTTGACATAAGGCGTTATCTGTTGATAGAACCGTTTGGAGTTAATAGAGGCACTTCTCAACTTACAGCCCAGTTTCTGTTGCTAAGTGAGACATTTGTTAAGTGAGTTTTGCCCCATTTTACGACCTGTCTTGCCTCTGCAGTTGTTAATGGGAATCTGACTTTTTCATTAACTTTGCTTGGTTGCAAAAGGGATTCACCTGACCCCAGGACACTGCAAGCGACATAAATATGACTCAGTTGCCCAACTGTTTGAATTTTGATCATGTGACCATGGGGGGAATGCTGCAACGGTCAGGTGAAAAACAGTCATAAATCACTTTTTTCAGGGCCATAGTAACTTCGAACGGTCACTAAATACACACAACAAGGACTGCCTGTACCTTGGACTGAACAGGACCACGAAACAGCAAAAGAAGTAAAATATTGCAGATTGCTTCTTCTTTTTTAATGAGTCTATCAGGTTAAAAATCCCAGGGGCCTTGAGTATTTCATCCAAGAAGTTATTTTAAAAAAATATGATCTTTTAGTTACTAATTAAGGAACAAGGTGAGAGAGAAATCCAAGCTATGTCTCAAACCCCAGTCCTTTGGGAAATTCTTCTACACGTCTGCCGAACTGAATATGAAGGGAGAGAATTGTGCAGGAGAATTTTCATCTAGATTGGGAAGAAAAATCTTTTATTCTGAGCAGGATCTCTTCTCCTTTGGGCATTGCAGGAGGAGACCTGTGTTAAGTCTTTGGCAGCCAGAAATCTGAAGGAATCTGGAACCACCTGTTGAAGGAAAAGTCTTCATCCTGGTTCATCCAAGCCGGGGATAATCAACATGGCGACTGCTTTAGAAAGAAGGTTGCCGTTTATTGAAGAGCCAGACAGAAAGATGGCTCTGGCAGAAAAAGGGAGAGAAAAAGGGCTGAGCACATGTGGGGAGTGGGTTTTTATACCCTCTGAAGCCTTTTGTTTGGAGTAGTTTCCTGTTCCTGTTTTAGGCTTTGTATTTTCTGTGTCACGTATTCTGACCTGAGTCTGGGTGTGCCTTTCTGGTATTCTTGATTGTGGTGGGTTAATCCTATTATGTCCCAAGGGTTATATCCTGCTTCCCTGGTGCTGGGGCTAACGACTCTTAGAGTTTGGGTGGGGTATGCAGATTTTAGGTGTCTTTGTCTTCTTGATCTCCTAGCTGAGGCCTTTCTGATGGTTTACATCTGCATTTGTACAGAGCTGGCTTCTGCTTGGGACAGAGAGACTTGGGGGGGCAGGGTTGGTTTCTGCTTTTAAAATCCTTTTGAGGAAATACATTTTTCTGCCCTTTTAATATTTCCTTCTCTGGGGAGCTGACTTCCCCCACACCTAACCACCTTCCGACTAACAGATGTTATGAAAAAGGTTTGAAAACTACAGCTCACTTCCTCAGACTCAGACTGGTAAGGTCTGCAAAGATCCTCTGAGTTTCTTTTTGGGGTGAACTGCTCAGAGTTGAGTTGTGAAGCTGAGGCAAATTGAGACAAAGCTAAATGAGGGAAAGGATGGCTGTCTTTTGGGGGAAGGGACAGCCTCTTGTTTGTCCTCAGCACCAGGAAGCCACAAGAATTTACGCTGAGGTTCACAAGTCACCCTGTCTCTCAAAGCTACACTACATGATTTCTGGGGAGAGGAGAAAATAGCTTGCTTTTGCAACTCCCCAGCTACAATATCCTGGGTTGGCTTTCAAGGCGCTTTAATCTGCTTGTGTAAACATTTCACAGAACTCCCTTGGATTGTGCAAACTGCCAACCCATTAAATACTTGTGGAAATGGGTTTAATTTAGTCATTTATTTTGGCATCCCCAATTTCCTGTTTGATTACAAAAGGAGGGAGGGAGGGAGGCAGAGGTAGAAAAAAATCTAAATACTCATCAGCATCTTTGCTTCGCAGCCTGCATAATGTAATAGTGCTTGGTGGGAAGGTTTTTAACCACTAGAGAGGTTGGGAGAAAAGAAGGCACTTTATAACTAAATTTGGAAGCTTGCGGGATAGGAGCAGATTTGAAGTCCCTGTAAATAATGCATGCTTTCAAGAGACAGGCTACAAATCATGTCTCAGGCTGGTTTCTGAATGGCAGAGTATTTTACGAGAGACAGTAACTCAAGAGTTCATCTGTGTGCTCCTCAGTCTACATCCAAACATGATGA